ACTGCCCGGCCAGTTCATGAATTACCTCCGGTTCAATCATAGAGCTTACGCTACTGTATATGATTACGTTTTCTATTTTACAATTATTTCAAAAATTTGAATGTACTTCGTAAATTGCTTATGCCAGTTATGAGTTGCCTGAACAATTTATATAATCCATAAAATGGTTTAGTTTTGTGTATTTGGTCTTAAACATGCATATTCGGTCTTGGTTATAGTCTTTTTAGTTTTGGTCTTGTTCCTTCGGTCTTGGTTTTAGTCTTTTTAGTCTTGGTCTTGTTCTTTCGGTCTCGGTTTTAAACGTGGTCTTGCTCTTTCGGTCTTGGTCTTGCTCGTTCGGTTTGGTCTTGGACTTGGTCTTGCTAGTATGAAGACAGTCTTGGTCTTGGTCTTGAATTTTCGCAAGAACAAGACTGGAAAACCGAGACCAATTTTTGTGATTACTATTTGATTAGTTACATATAGTATTGGCGACAAATACTCGTCTTTTACTCATGTGAACTCATTTGTGACTCTTATTAGAAACATGCGACACGCTACATATGTTTCTAGTAGTAGACTAGTTTTGTGATCTATTATTACTATTAACACAATACGTAGACAATACATAGAGATAGCTTTAAATAAAATGGAAGCGGTACTGACAGATCAGTACTGTATGAAAATAAATAAAAGTAAAACAAAAATACTGGCTTGCAAGGGAAGAAAAAGTAGGAAAAGAGCGAATATAAAGATAGGAGACGAAANCCCCTCCTAACTCCTGTTTCTGCCACTAATATGTCTCTGACTAGACCTTCATGCCTAAGAAGGTGTCCTACCAGCCTATCTCGCCTATTTCTTATTGACTTCCATAGAATTCTCTGTTCTATTCTTTCTAATACCTCTTCATTTCTAACCTTCTCTATCCACGGTATCCTCATCATATTCCGGCAACAGCACATTTCGAACACTTCTAACCTTTTCTTTTCTGCCGCGCCCAACGTCCATGTTTCGCACCCGTACAGCGCCTCGCTCCAGACATGCACCTTTAATAATCATTTTCGAAGTGACTATCCTCTGTATATTTCCCTACGGAGCTTAATATTGTACATCTCAAAAATTACAAATGTCAGTCAGGCTGCGTAAGAGTAAAAATAGATATTAAATGTCAAAATGGCATGTTCCATTTTAATTTTGGTGAGTGCTACTATGATAAGTGTCAATTGAGAAAACGCCATTACGCCTTCTCAACACTCAACGCGATGTTGCAGAGAGTAATTTGCACTATCCAAATACGTGATTCCGGTATGATGCATTAAGTGTCGATTTAGCGTTGTGAAATCGTGCTTGGGTCACATGACCATTAACAATGTGATTAGAAGCATCGATTGCTACCCAGGGGAACTCTTCATCATTTAGGTATTTTGTTGGAAATTTGTGGTTGCGAATATTGCTTATCAAAATTTATAGGCGAGTTGTTTTGGGAATACAGAATATATCAGGGCGATAATTAGGAATTTATTTATGCAACATAGATTTTTTAACGAACACAATAGTATAAAGTACTTGAAAGAAGGAATAATATCGAAAAGAATTAGTTTGTTTCTATATTTCAACCATGTGTTATCCAGGCATACAAACAAAGAACTAGTGTCCGACCGAAACTGGTTTTTACGACCGAAACCGAAACCGAAACCGAATTTCGGCAACGATCTCGGTTTCGGCCGAAACCGAAACCGAAACCGAAACTTCCTTATAAGGATCATGTTTTGAGAGAAAAATAAAGAAAACGTTATTATAATCAGTCAGTTTTATTTTTTTATCTTTAAATCACATAGCTCTGCAGTCTTTGACATTTTCACTTATTGATAATCAAATCAAAATCAACATAACAACCCCTCATTTAAGGAAATACTTTAATTG